ACGAAGGACGGGGGGCTCTCAGAGATCACCTGCGACAAAGCCCCCCTCACCAAACACGAGTATGTGCAATTTATCCCATTCACAGCAAACCTACATCTCACCTTTTATTTAAACACCTGCTGTAAGCTGGGGGTTTTTTCACTTTGACACCCAAGCAAGCTCCATTCATAGACAATTGCAGGAATGAACAGTAAACCAAATTCTATGCTTCCATACAACACTTTTTTTTGTCAATGTCTGTCCCCTATATGCATAGGTGTAAGTAAAGTAAATTTGTACAACGGGACAGGGAAAGGTGTTGAAGCCTTCCATGTTTAAATGGAAGTCTACATGCATTTAGTTAAGAGCAAACTATCATCATGAACATCTTCTAGATCAATTTGCAAGACACTCTTGCTCTGGCAACAGCAGTCTTTGACTTGAAGAAAATCTAAAACTCCAATTTGAACAGTTTTTTTCTACACAGTTATATGTTTTTTAACTAATATTTCATTGATGAACTCATTCTTTCCCACAGGAAAATACAGCCAGACCTGCCCACTGCTGACGCATGAGACCATAAACCGGAGAAACAACACATAAGAAGTGTGAACCAACAATTGACAATGTATATACAACAAGAAAAGATATCAAACCGTCACTCAGTCTTAACAGCTGACTCAGAACAGTTGGACATGGCTGTCATGGGAAAGGTCAAACATTACTGACAGACTGCAGAGAAAACACTGATGTTGCTGGGGCTGTTTCAGATGTCTGTGCTGTTAGGGCGCGAGTACAACAGGACTGTGCTCAGCCTCTCGTGGTGACACTGTCCTCTCCTCAGGTTGAAAATCTCCCCGCTTCCAGCAGAGGATACAGGCAGGAGATGATGTCATGTTGTTCTGACTGCTCTGATTTAGATTAGATCTCGTTCTACAGGGTAACCCCGGTGTCTGTGTGTGTTACAGGGTAAAATTATTGGTGTTTTAAGTTAAAATTCAAATAGTTACATTTTCCAGAAGTCACAAGAAATGTTTACCCACTGCATTTTGAATGTTGTACACAGACACAAGGTCTTATTTTATTTTTACTCTTTTTTAATCGATTTATTGCTATCCAGTGTAATTAGCACTTTTTGGCATTTAAAATATTTGTTTCTGTTAATCGTGTTTGGTTCCTTTACCTTTTAATTGTTATTAACTTTTTATTTCATGTTGCATTGTGGCTGCTCTTCTGGTGGTTATGTAAGGCTAAACATCTTGTTTTTTAAGATTAGATTACACTGTATCCTGATACTGACCAGTACCATTTTTAAGCTTACACTAAACCTAACTAACCTTAATGTAATTATTTTGCAGTGATATTTATTGTTTGTGCTTTGAACTTAAAGACATATTTGACTCTGTGGCCAGCTTTACTGTAATCATTTTTTGTAAAATAATTTTTATCTGGCTGGCCACATAAGGAAACTGTAATTAAAAGCAACTTTTATTATGAGAATCTTCTTCTGAAGTACCTGTAATAATAGGCGACACGTTAAACATATATACATCTAACAAAATCGACTAATGTTGTAAGTTATTTTGTATTTATAGTCATATTATTATTAACAGTAATCAAATATCTTAAAGTCAAAATGTTTCAAGTTAAATGTTAAACTCGGTTGCAGCTTCTTTATTTAGAAAATACTCCAAGTTACCTGACCAGATTAATGAAGTGTTTTGTGTTTTGAGATTGTTGTAATATTGCCTTGAACATTGTACATGGTTGTACATACATGTTGTTACATCTTTGTGCTTGATTAAAACAGGGACTGTTGAGCAGCTTTATGTGTTTTGTGCTCACCAAATGAATGAATGTCTTCTAGCAGCATCTTCATCACATTCAGTAAAATCACAACACAGACAGGAAAATGTTTTGTTTTTTAATGGCTTCATAAATCTGTGTGATTCTATAGTATCTATTCAGAGAGGAAAATACTTTTCCCTTTTAAAAAGACTTAATTCATTCTGCATGTGACTAACAACAATATAAACTAGATGTGAAAGTAGGCGTACCAGGATCAAAACACCCAGCACCACTGGGAACCAAAGGTTCACTGGAGACTGGGGGAATTACAGAATAAGGCTTAAACAGGTGGGTTAATGCACATGTGTTTTTCATACTTGGGCTGGCTGACAATACAAAATTTAGATACAAACAAATTTTGAAACAAAACAAAAACCATGGAATCGTGGAACTGATGTATTTAGGCAGTAGTTCCCTTCTCTGATCATTAATACAACACCGGGTCTTTATATACTGAAGAATCTGTCTGGGCAGAATCACTTCATTTCAGACCTTGACACTGTGTTATACAGCTGTTTGTCCGAGAGAGATTAAGACAAGAAAATGACTTTGAGAATGCATTCGACAGCCCTGGACACCGACAGGTGGGACTGTGAGATAGAAAACCAAGCGCTTTGTACCCAGGTAGAGGTGCTGAAGGCTCACCTTCAAACTGCAGAGCAGCACATTGCCTGCCAGGAGGAAAAGGTGACCGAGCTCTCCGCCAGGCTGGAGGCAGAGATGAAGAACAACATGTCTCTGTCGAAACAGATGGAGGATTTGATTAATGAGCTCCAGAGAGAGAGGGCTGAGAGACTTGAGCTGGATGATCAGCTTCAGGAGGAAAGAGCCAGTTATCAGGCTGAGCGGGGCCTGAAAACAAGACTGGAGCAGCAGACCTCCTCCAACGTTGAAATTGCCACTCAGCTTGAGGCTGATAAAGAGATGAGTCAGGCCCTTCAGGCAGAGACCGCCAAGCTGAAAGAGGAGCTGAAGACACAGGAGGAGAAAACCCTTGTTGCTTTAATGGCTGTCGAACTCCTGGTAGAGGAGGAACTCTCTGTGGACAAGGCCCCTGAAATAAAAAAGAAAAGCTCACTGTGGAAAAGAATCTGCCACTTCTTCGGTTTGAGGAGCAGAAACAACAGGAGCTGGGAGGAGGTGTCCACATCAAACTAAGATTCCTGTGCATAGCAGCTCAGGACCTTCCCCCCCTCAGTGGCTTTAACAGGCTGCAGGGCGGCACGGTGGCCCAGTGGTTAGCACTGCTGCCTCATGGACAGACCTGTTTCTGTGTGGACCACACTCCCAAGACATGAAGCTCAGGTGAAATGGACAATCTAAATTGCCCCTATTTGAATCCCATATAAATATATAAATAAATACAAATACATCTCATATACTCTGACATAGGTGTGTCATGTTTGCAAGTTACCTGACCAGATTAATGAAGTGTTTTGTGTTTTGAGATTGTTGTAATATTGCCTTGAACACTGTACATGGATGTACATACACATGTTGTTACATCTTTGTGCTTGATTAAAACAGGGACTGTTCAACAGCTTTATGTGTTTTGTGCTCACCAAATGAATGAATGTCTTCTAGCAGCATCTCCATCACATTCAGTAAAATCACAACACAGATTGGAAAATGTTTTGTTTTGTAATGGCTACACAAATCCGTGTGATTCTATTCAGAGAGGAAAATACTTTTTCCTTTTAAAAAGACCGAATTCGTCCTGCATGTGACTAACAACAATATAAACTAGATGTGAAAGTAGGTGTACCAGGATCAAAACACCCAGCACCACTGGGAACCAAAGGTTCACTGGAGACTGGGAGAATTACAGAATAAGGTGGGTTAATGCACATGTGTTTTTCATACTTGGGCTGGCTGACAATACAAAATTTAGATACAAACAAATTTTGAAACAAAACAAAACAAAACAAAAACCATGGAACTGTGGAACTCTGAGTTTCCTCTGAGTGCTTCAGTTTCCGACCACACTCCAAAGACATGAGGCTCAGGTGAAATGGAGGCTATAAATTGCCCCCAGGCTAACATAAAAGGTCAATAAAAACATTTCAGAATAAAAACTCTGTCTCTGTTGTTGTATGTCACAGTTAACACTGTTAAAGGATGACTGTTGGAGAGACACTACTGTACTGTGTTTGACATGTATAAGATGTTAAAAGTAGATGGACAGGTAAGCAAGAGGTTGACTAAACTTAAAACTACAGATATAGTCTGCAAGTTAGTCATTGATCAAATTACTAAAACTAATGTTAAGCAGATTTTTTGAAACAGCTAAATGAAATCTAAATTTTCAAGAAATTATTCACCTTAGTGAAACTGTGGTGCTTACCAAATTAAAATTTTCTTCATCTTCATCCAATACAGTAAAATCATTTACAGAATTGAAAATGTTTTGGTCTTTATTGGCTGTCAAAACAGAAAATTTGATTTACTACTACCACATGGTGGTATATATTCAGAGAGGTGTGGAACGAATCTTTCTCTAGCATAAAGTACAAGGTACAAGGTTGGTTTAATGGTCACATCACACCAGGTTGAAAAGTAAAATGTGGTTTGTAACTCCCTACTACTACATAGCAGACAATAACAAAAAACAAATGTCTAGTTATTTAGTAATTAAATCATGCAGGTGACTAATCCAAGTAACTAAAACATGTTTTCCATCATTTCAAATACTTTGGTAAGGCTGTCCAAAAACTGTTGTGTAGGCTCTCAGTGTAATTTATCAGGCATGTGACTGACCTGATTGACTCACTTTTAAACAGAAACACCAACTGATAACAGTGGACTAGGATTGTTTTGTGCACCCGTATTTGGATAATTCACAAATTCACACTGAATTTGCACACTTACACAAAAAACGTACGTAATTTGGATCCCTGTTATCAGACGTCTTCCACTCATCGGGAGGAGGATCGAACTGTTACAGCTCTTTTTCTGAAGTTGTTCTTGCCCTGACATGAGTTAAAGCTGAGTCAGACTGTCCTTAAAGACTGAGATGTGGCAATCAAGACTCTGAGGGTGCTGAGGAGTGCATGGCACATTTTATTACTCAATACATGTATAAAAGATGTGTTTGAATACCACTGAATGACTAGGTAAGAAGGCACTTAAGCTCTGTCTGTCTCAGTGCTGTGACTCTGGGCACGCCTCCTCCTGCTGACTACAAGCACATGACCCAGCGTGTTTACACCTGCAGTGACAGAGAGACACACGGCGCTAAGTGTTTCCCTGACAGGGAAGCCTATTGTTTGAACCGAGAAAAGAAGCAGCATTGTCGTGAGGGGTTACTGTTTAGCGGACGCTCTCTGGGACTTGGTAAGTTAGCTTAATTAGCAAGTCTGTGTTTTGTCCCCCGTCTTTAGTTTGCGCTGTGGTGACGCTGTTGTCTCTTCCGTAGCAGCAGCTGCTAGGTTAGCATGCTAACGTGCGTCAGTAGGTTAGCTCCCTGCTGCTGCAGCATCACCACCCAAGCAGGTTAAAGGCTGATATTAAATTATAGCTCCAGTAACAAAAGACACGGCGCTAAGCGTTTTACTTTATGTCTTAATGAATGCAGTTTTTATGTAAGTTAGCTTTGTAAAAGTGTTTGTAGCTAAAGAGGTGGCTTTAAAAGCGTGCAGAGCTGAAGTGACAGTGGTGCTAGATTTGAAAGCATAATTCAGTATATCCACATAGACTACGATAGTCTTTAGTTTAAGACAGGAATGTTGTCACAGAGGCCAGTGTCAGATGTAAATACCATCATTATATGGCTGTAGTCATGTGAGTCAGCCGCTGGTTCTCGGTATCAGTCATGTGAATGAGAAAAACAATATGAAACTTAACACTTGTGCCTTCAGAAAGCTGTCACGTTACAGGCAAATCAATGACTCTCGATAGATCTACAATATTTTAGATGTATTACATTAATAATATACACATTTCATATCCTGTTCCTCGGCTCCAGGCTACCTCTGCACGTCTGTAGCCCAGGAGGGAAGCTACATCCCCGGCCACAGGCTCCAAGAAGGCAGCCTCTTGCTCTCCACCATGGAGGAGACAGATGTGGAACGTGAGTCTGCTTCTTCTCAGCTACAGTAATGTCTTTGCTCTGTTTGACACAGCTCTGAGCACTAAGCTGTGCATATTTTCCTCAGATCTTTCTCAGGTAGCCAATAGCCGATAGCTGCAAAGGTTTCCCCAACTTTGTCTAGCCATTTGTGTTTCATCCATTCCTCTATTCTTTCTTAATTTGAATCCTTCTGCTCAGTCTCTGCTGTGTTTTCCCTCTAGAGGTGACCCTGGCTCTACTAGATGCGGCCACCGATAAAGACTCAGAGGTCCAGGAGCAGGTCAGAAAGTCTGTGTTGACCCTGGGAAAACAGCAGCCAGACAGAGTGTTAGCCATGTGTCAGGACTACCTTCTGAAACACCCAAAGGTAAAGAAAACACCACTATTATTCAGACAGCTCTCAGACTTTCAGCATAAGGACTGCCTACCGGGTTCACCTGGAACTAATTGTCAGTATTCCTACCCCACACAAGCTCTCGAAGCCCTTGTCAAAAAAGCCAGATAAGCATGACCACAAGAGCATGCTAATACTTGCATTTAACTCTGCCTCTGGTGCTGGTGTTATTGTTGGTAACGTGCGTTAAAATGAGTTGACCACTTCAGTTACATACTGTACATATTAAGAGTAGAAGGGGGAAGTGCTCCATGCCTTTGATTTCTGAAAAGGGAACATATTGTCCTTTTGAACTGTTAAAGATTAAGTAGGATTTCAGGAAGCACTAAAAACTGGTGCTGGTAAATGTCTTTGGTTTAATGAAAACGATTTGTCTTGACTCCAGTAACCCCCTGCTAACAATAGTCTGCTGCTAATCCGTTAATCAGCCTCTCAGAGCCCCTAGCATGTGGTTTGCCAGCCTGTTACAGAGAGCATGCCCATCAAGACTTTACTGCTAGAGGTTTTACACATTTATCAAGATGTAAAGAATCGAATTGCTCAGCGGGCTTCGTGTTTCAGCTCTGGTGATTAAGTTCATTTAATTTACCAGGTGTTAAATTCACTGGATTTGCCAAAAAACGATATTATTATTCATTCTAAACATTGCGAAATTTCACCATAGAGTGACTCTCAGTCTCAGCTCGTGTCTGTGTGATGCTGCAGTATCTTATCATACTGTCACAGCCATGGACTTTGTGATCAGATGTTGACATCTTAACACAGATGACATGTCTTGGGAAACATGAGTGACAAAGGATGACTCTTTTGTTACTTATGGTGTTGAATGTGTTGTAGTATATTTTATTTTGCCTTATGTGAAAGCCAGTTGCAAACATTTTACTTGGCCTTTGCTGCTGTTTTTATACAGATTAATAAATGCTGTGCCATTAATTATTGTTCCATTTTGTTTTGTATTGTATTTTAAATGTGCTCATTACAGTTATTCTCTTGCTGTCCCAATTTTTTTAAATTCTCTCCCTCCTCCTCTAGTTGGTAGTGACCCACAGAGTTGTGATTCTTCGGACTATTGAGCTGATTGTGGGCTGCAGGATCGAGGAGATCAGTTACCCCAGGATAAAGAGCATCATCTCCCTGGCCTCAGATGAGATGACACGATCAAAGGTAGAAAATGAGCTGTTCATTATTCATTTTATTGTTTGTTGCAGAGGGCAGATGATAAATGATGTTCCCTCCTGTTTTCTCCTTCTTCTGGTTCAATCAGGAGGTCGTCCCTGATTGGCAGCAGGCAGCCAGCAATATCTTGGTTGCTGTGGGTAACAAGCACATCAATGACATCATGGAGGAGATACTAAGCAAGTTTCAGCCGGGGCTCCTACCTCACTTCTTTGTGGTCCAGACGCTAGCCAACCTTTCCGACTCTAATGGTGCGACGATGTTCACACACAGAAACACAAAGGAATCACACATTCGCGTCCGTTAAGGCCTCAAAACCACACACACACACACACACACACACACACACACACACCAGGAAATCACAACGTTGGCTCACAACACAGGTATTCAGGTTGTTAAGAAATACATGAACCTGTTAAACCTGTCCAAAAAACAGCATTGGAAGACCAAATATTTTGCACACCAGAAGAATATGTTTGTTAAGGAGCAGTCTCTTTTGGGGTTTTCTAGCACTCGCACTTGGGATGTACTGAGCCAACCAACTGATCGAGACATTAATATTTGGTCAGTATCAGTTAGGGCTGCAAATAATGATCATTTTCATTGTAGATTAATCTGTCGATCACTTTCTCGATCAGTTGTTTGGTCTAAAAAATGTCAGAAAATGATGAAAAATGTAGATCAAGATATTCAGTTAACTGTCATAGAGAAGTAAAGAGGCCAGAACATATTCACACTTAAAAAGCTGGAATCGCATAATTTTTCTTAAAAAAATGACTTAAACCGATTAATTTATTATTATTATAAATACTTGCCAATTCATTTATTAGTCTAATTAATTATTCAGTTAATCATTGCAGTTGTAGTATTAGTTATATAAATACGTATTTATTTCCAATCTTTTGTCCTGCTGCCAAAGTTGCCCCGATGCGCTTATTAAAAATTTGAAATTATATTTATTGTGATACATAATGTGATTTTAACATGTTGTTTACTAACACAATGGAAGCTGCTTATAGTTACAGTGATCAGCTGCTTATGTGGATCTATTTGCACTACTGATGTTACTGTATTTGTGAATGGCATAATACTACTTTAGGCTATAGCCTTATTATAATCTGAACTACAGTAAGATATATTTTATATATAGTACTGTATTACAGTATAGTGTATTTGAATTATAAACAGTACAGTAATTTTAAAAGTGTTTGAAAGAGCTGTACTTTATTTTGAAACAGTCAATAACATTCAGTAAATAGCGACGCTGTCCATTTCATTACTTTATATTCATGAAATCTGCATGAGAAATAAAGACAAATAGTGATCAATTTGACCTCAACAGACATGATTACTATAAGAGGTTTCCACTATAGATTGATGATGAATTTTGCAAAGATAGATTTCACTGGGGGCTACTACAACCTTCCTCCATGCTTTTCTTTTACATTATGTACATCATGCCTTAGCACTGCTACATCAAATGATTACAATGTATGTGTCCCTTCCTTACAGAGAAAGTGGTAATTAATGCTGTGCTCTTTTCCTTGTTCTCTAGTTTATGGCATGGTACCTTTCCTGAATGCTATTCTGGGCACTATGTTGCCCATGCTGAGCATGGCCAAACAGGACAACATGAAGTGGGTCTTCTCCTCTGGTAAGAACTTCCCGACATGCTTATTTAAATTATAATTATTTATTATATTTATTTATAATTAATGGTATATTAACCCCTCTCCAAAAACTCTTGAAATAGTTTAATTTATGTATTCACCTCCGAAAACATTAAACTTCAAAATGTGCAATTCTGTCCGTACTCTTTCTTAAAGTTTTGTGATGACGTTGTTTTCTACTCTCTCTAATATTCCTGTGTTTTCTTTCTCTCCCTCCAGCTCTGTGTCATTTCAGTGACAGTATCTTGGAGTACCTCGCCAACCTGGACAAGGCTCCAGATCCCACAGTCAGAAAAGACACATTCTCCAGTGAAATCTATGCTTCTTTCGACATCCTCTTCAATAATTGGTTGCAAAGCAGGGAGTCTAAGGTGAGTTCGGTGTTGGGGGTAGAGCAAGATGGTTTGATAAACAGTGGATTTTACAACCTACAAAGAGGCTGTACATTTGGCATTAAGTGGGCAGAATTGACAGAAGTTGAGTAAGAAGAGCTTCTCACCTTATACAGTATTATGATGCATTGTGAGAACACTTTTCTGTTGTCATTTTCTGTTCCCAAATTAGTGAAACAACACTGTAATCACTAGCTAGTTTTCGAAGTATTACAGGGTTTCCACGGCTCCTTAAAAAGTCTTAAAAGGTCTTACATTGAAATCAGGGAAATTAAGGTCTTAAATTGTCTTAAATTTACTGTAAATTTGCTGTAGGTATAAAATTTGCCGATGGTGTGTTTAAGGCTGGTGGGGAAATTGTCACGCACAGTTGCCTAAAATGCCTAATTAGGGTGATTTTCTTTTAGTAATTGACAATGCGAGACCCCGCCATTAATATAACTCATATGTTACGTTTACGTTAGCTTCAGACATTGACGGCAAGACTGCAAGATTGGGAGACGCAAGTTAAAGTGGTTGGAGGAAGAGCCGATCGTTCTGTCTAGCTACAACTGTAGCCTACATCACGTCCTCCTCTCATTTGCGCAGGTCCAAAAATGATCTATAACTACAGGTTAAAATAACTTTCTAAAGTATGTCTTTCACTGTGATTTGTTTTCCTCCATGGATTATTTACCTCTCTTTAGCGGTGCGCCCGTAGGCTATATTAGCTCGGCTGTAAAGTGAAATTTAAGTTCGGTCCAGCATCGTTTTCTTGCTACCTTTCTTTATAATGTTCAAGATACTCTTTTCTGTTATTTTAGTAGTTTATATTGAGTTTAACACAGCAGTGTATGAGTAGGCTAAGGGCAGGGTTATATGGACAAAAATGGTAAAATCATTATTTTTATTATTAGCCTATAAGTTTAAAGGCTGTTTTTTTTTGCTCCTGAAGAAACCAGATGGTTAATTGTGCTTTTAAACTTTTCTTTATGGTCAGAACATGACAAACACTTGATGCCGAAAAGCAGCCTGGTATCAAACAGTGGATCTGTTCGCAGAGCTGAGGTAGAACATTCAAAACAACAAATATGCATGAGAAAAATAAAGTAAAGTCTTTTTTCAGTCCCTTTTCCTCAACACAATAAATATCTTAATAGAAAAGAAAGTGTTAATTCATTTGTGATTCAAGTGAATTAAATCAAATATTTATTGAACATTTGTTATATTGTTATTGAGAAAGATTGTTATCACTATAATTACCATTATTGTTTTATTGCCCAGCCCTAGTTTATGTTCACAAACGAACACGATCAGTTCACCAGAAACCTGAACATCTTCAGTAATTGGCACTGTTTGAGCACGTTTATGCACAACACTGAATGGACACAGTGTCTAGCCGCCTGTCTGCTCTGTCAGATTTTTGGATTTTATTTGCAGAAGACTGTGACCAGTAGGCTACATATTTTTGCCCAAGTAGTTGTTGTATGTGGATAGACAACTCATTTGCATCCATGTGGTCATGGTGTCCCTGACCACCTCCAGAGGTCGTTTTGCTGATTGGATCACAATCTATCCTCAGTGTGTCTCGGGTGTATTTACACGTGCTTTCATGTGGTCAAGTGCTAACCGATCACAATCTGATCACCCAAAAGACATTTTAATGCCAGGTGTAAACAGTCTCTATGTTCCCTGATTTGGAATATGCAAAGTCATTCACCTGTGGTGAAAATATAACTGCCAAATATGGCATTGTGTCGTTCGTTAAGAGAGCAAAGAAATTGTTTCAAAATTTGAGGTCTTAAATTTATATTTGTTGAGGTCTTAAAAGGACTTAAGAAGCATTAAATTTGACTTTTAAAATGGTGCAAGAACCCTGAATTAGAGCATCGGTTTGCATGTTTTCTTTGTCAGTATAGTAACCATACAAGCCCTAGTTTGTGGTTGTATTGCGTCGATACTTGGCCACGTTAACAGAGTCTAACAGTTTAACCACTGTGCCTTCATGCTGCATTACAGAAAGCAGGAAACCTATTAGATCTAATTATGGTTCACTGGAATGGCATCCACAGCTGTTCAAAAGGGCACTGAATATGCAAACAAAGAGTTCAGTATGAGCAAACACTGGAAAACGAATGATTTCAGAAGGATATTTATACGGCGACAGAACATTTGCTTTAAACACTTTTTTTGTTCTGTTGTCTACCTGAAAAGTAAAACGTAGAACCATTATGACAAGTCCCCCAAATGGATTTGCAGTCTTTCAACAAATTACCACTAGTTGTATTATCTTGTATTTTTTTATGGCTTGTGTTCCCCCTTTACTTCTTCTCTATATATTAGGGTTACTGCGATATCTACAAAATTTCCATCAGACGATGTCTACATTGAAGCATCGGGATGGACGATGGCATTGGGGGCGCGCGCGGTCTTCTTATGTGCATGTGTTCACTCACACAGACTTTACTCGGTTAAAGAGGCGGGGCAAGCCGGTGTGTTTACCTGAGATGTAGGCCTCTTGTATGTCTGAGTGTGGGGAGAAGAGAATTCCAAGGAAGGTGTGAAGCATATTTAAAATTTATAATAATAATGTTAGTGGTGATTAAAACCTAACAGTATTATGTGAAAAAATGAGATTTTTTTGCCGGGGGACGGGGTTTCACAATCACGATGCCTGCTCGACCATCTGTCAGCCATCGCCGATGAACGATGGCATTGTCTATTGGCCCAACCTTACTATCTACACACACCTAGTTGATGTTAGGAGTTAGTGAACCTACAGTATGTCAGCTAATCCGTGTCGTGTCTGTCACATGACATCCTGTCTTTCTGTCTCTGTGTGTTCCAGTTGAGGCTAACAGTAGCTGAGGCAGTGGGCTCTATGTGCCATCTGATGGCCAGCGATAAACTGGAGGAGCAGATTCCTAAACTCATTCCTGCCATCCTGTCCCTGTACAAGAAAAACAATGAGAATTATGTCATTAGCAAGGTGGGTACAGTCTGCAGCGTGAGTGAAGTGGACTGTTTAGTAATGGATTTTGTAACGTGGATAATTTGTGTTAACAAGCAGACCATCACTCTCCGTCCGTCTCTAAACTGCTTCCTGGCTTTTAATTGAATTTGTCCCTTGATGCTCCTCAGCAGGGCTTGTGGTTTAAAACCGCCAATCACAGTGTGTGTAGCATGACACTGTAACTGCGACATCACACAATTAATTTAGCTTTTTCAGAGGGTGAGTATTTATTTTCTTTCTTCTGTCTATTCAGAGTCTCTGCCAAGTGCTTGATGCTTCTGTCAACATGGGCAGCAGAGTGCTGGAGACACAACTGGACGGTCTACTCTTTGCACTGCATCAACAGGTACATGTTACGTACATACTAAAATAAATACTGCAGCTTTAACCTTGGGTGAACCAGGTGACGCACGACATAGATACCCATAAAAAAGTGGAACAAGGCAGAAAACATGAGAATATGCTCCGCCCATTTTCATAGATCCAAACCAGGTACTGTTGACTGTTTTTACACAGCTATTGGATTTAGGAGACACAAGTTTTTCTAACATCTTGAAAACTGACATAATTCTAAGAAACTCATGAGATTAGAGAAACCTTATTTAGATGTGCTAAATTGCAAAAAACTGATTTATACATAAATATATACATAGTCTTGACAGATGAAGTTTGAATACACTGTTTTTTAACACTGTACAATAAATAACTATCAAAAAAAGTCTCATTGAGCTTTTGCGGATTGTTGTAGCAGGGTGGGTTTTTGTTTTTACTTTTGGGGCCTGTTTTCAAGTCAGAGGAGAACAACTTTGAGTAGAAAAGAGCAGTGGGAGTGTCCTGTAACAGACCTGCAAACAGCAAGCGTAAAAGACTTACCAACAGTACTACATTATATTAGCTGTACCTGGATCTGTGCTCTGTTTAGTCACAAGACAAGGATGATGTCATTCTAACTGTAACCCAGTCCTTGTGTCTCAGTCTTACTGCTCAGTAACAGAGCTGCTCACCACATTGAAACTACACATCTGTTACTAAATAGTGGACAGACTGGATTACTTGTGCATATTCACCCCTATGCTGCTTTATTTCAGATGTGTCAAGTGACTGTTAGAAAGTTGCTGTTTTCAGATGTTTTCATAATCTTGTGACTCAGCTGACGCTCGACCCGATGCCTTGGCTGTAGCAGTGACCACAATGACTCATGCCAATAATATGAATGTATGATCAGGATTGTTTTTCACCAGAAGGACAGCAGCAGTACTCAAAAGTTACAGTTATTATAGTCTTGCACAAAATCTTATAACTGTATTAACACTAAATGGTGTGTGTGTGTGTGTGTGTGTGTGTGTGTGTGTGTGTGTGTGTGTGTGTGTGTGTGTGTGAGAGACTGTAAATGTTCCTGATAATTATTACTAAATGATTAGAAATCATGTGTTACAGTAAGCCATGTTCATTAAGTTTGAATACACCTATACTATAATGGTGAGTATTTTCCCATTTAACCAAAGTGTCAGTGCTCACCAGAACTCACATTATGGCATATGACGCACAGCGTCTGAGGGTGCTGAAGTTGACACGTGGCTGTTACAGAAAACTGTGTAACAACTCCTTTGTCTCCCCCAGGTGTCCGCCCCTGTTGATTACAGTAACTCTCTTACTGTCAAGAACCACAACGAGGTCCTGCGCTGCTTCAGCTTACTAGGTACTGAAGCTCTTCAGTTGGTGCTTGTATTTATGTGCACATATGTATGTTCAATGTGACTGTTGTTGCCACTCCATTAAATGATGTAAATTTTATAGACAGTTCTGTAAGAAAGTCCGTGGGGACCATGTTCAGTGTGGACTAACATCTGAGGGTTGTCCAGCAGCATCAGACCTTTCTGTCTGTCTTAGTTCTCTTCAAGTCACAAGAACAGTAATGAGATCATCCATTAGTATCTCAGACTCTGTGTGCACCAAGATTATCTTATTAACTCTGACAGCTGATCTACTTTCCCCCCCGTTCCTATGTTTTGCTCTTGCGTTTGTATTTCTTTGACAGTTTATGCATTTCACATTTTAATTTCTTTTTTTCTACTTCTGCTTCTCTCGCTCTAGCTAACTCCTTCCCAGACCGGCTGGTCATGTTTGTTCTTCAGAAGTTAGAAAACAGTAATGAGCGAAGCAGGATGGGCTCCCTGGCTGTCCTTCGTCACCTCATCAACTCCACCAGTGAGAAAATACTTTGGCATATGCATCCCCAGCTCATCCTATACAAACTTCTATATAAAATAATAATAATATATAAAATCTGTTACTCCACACACATCAGTGATTGTTTCGGACTAAGGAGGGTAGTAATGTGTGTCTGTGTGTGTCTGTGTGTGTCTGTGTGTGTGTGTGTGTGTGTGTGTGTGTGTGTGTGTGTGTGTGTCAGCTTCCACAATGGAAAGTAAGAAGTTGCTGATTCTGGCCAGCATCAGACAACCGATGGCTGACCACAGCAACAAGGTAACACACACGCAGACTCACACAGTCTCTGTGTGACTACGTCACTTGATCACAAAAAATATTTGTTTGTTAATTTTGAGTTTTCCTGAAGTTGTTTTTTGATGACATTGTTATGTCGGACTCTCTCTACGTCCCAGGTCAAGAAGCGTGTGGTCCAGGTGATCAGTGCGATGGCTCATCATGGCTACCTGGAGTTAGACGGAGGGGAGCTACTGGTTCGATTCATAGTTCAACACTGTGCCTTACCGGACACTTATCAGGTACAACTTCTGTTGTGTTTCATTCTTAGAAGTGTATTTTATGTATATTCATGCATATGTGGCTTGTGTGATTATGAGTGGTAGTTTTAGTTACTTTATGAATCCTCCAGAAAGAGAATTACTGCTCAAGTAACTTCAATATTATTCCATCATATGTTTAAAACAATATAAATATTAAAAATAAAAAAACAAAAGGAAGAAAATACTAAGCAAACAAACATCTACATGTGGTAAATGGACAATATGGAAGTTACAAGTCCGCTACTAAGTTTTCAGTAACAGATTATTTGATGCACATTTGTTAAAACATCTATCCATGTGTGATTGTGTCCGTGTGTCTCTAGCGAGTCGAGAGACCCACAGATCCAGAGGAGGTCACTAACGAGGCACTGAGGAGCATGTGTGACAGCACCCTTCATCTCCTCACCACCACTGTTGGACGACTAGCTGATGTACACTAGTATTCACTTGTTTACACTTCTGTCTAAATGGCTCATGTTGTTTGTTTCACAGCCTGTAGATATATGTTTATGAAGCTTGAGCTTTTTAAAAAATTAGTTGTCGATACGTTTATGACCAAGACAGCCTCATACCCAAACGGCAAAATAGTTTGATTGTTAATTTTCCCAAAACAACATATACAGTACAACTTTTTTCCAAAAGGACATAAATGTCCTTTGAAAAGTACAATGAGATATAGGACCATTCTCGAAAATGAGATGTATGAGCGTTGACAAGTACCAGTTCAGCGACAGGCGAACCGGTCCTTAAGTACGTTACAGAATTCAAGTGACCTAAGTCACATGACGTTAAAAAGGTTGCTCTCTATACTATGTTACCTGACTTCTTCTGCCACTAGACTTTGCACGCTAAGAAAACGTAACTATGGGTCGTTATAAGCTGCTGCATATTTTCTGGCAAGGACGGGCTGTTTAAGAGGGTTAATATCAGTTGTTGTCCATTGTGTGTGTTAGATTAACACATGTATTTTGTTATTTGTAGGTGCTATGGCCAAAGCTGCTGTACTATCTGACCCCTCCACAGTACAGCAATGCCACCACTCCTCTGTGTAAGAGTCTGATAGTGCTGGGTAACAAGAAGAAACATAATCAGGAGCCCAGCTTCAAAATAGACTTTACACAGGAAGGTAGGAGGCGTATTTACTGACCAGGTGCATCTTTGTGAAAGTTATTTTCTGTGTGTGTGTCACATGTTTGATATAAGTTCCTCATAGATAGGATGTGTGAATTATGGAAAAGATAGCACCTCAAATAATTTCTTAGGCATAGATATTGGCACTTTGAAAGTTACAATTCTTACTTTTCTGTGTGATCCACGGCGAGCTAAATGTGTCTCGTCCCTCTCTCCTCCAGTCAATCTGCCCTCTCCTCAGACACTAATGATCCGACTGCTGGTAAGTAAATCCAGTTCCACAATTTCTTCAAACTCTGGTGACTTCAAATGAAGCCAAAGTATAAAACAAAGACTCGCTAAACATTCAATCTAATAGCTTGCCTGCTAACTTGAAGCAACAGATTGTAATTAAATAATATTAATGAACTGTAGCTACGGGTTTAGACAAATTGTTTATCGTGCTAAATTTCAATCAATTCATAAATCAGTTTCCTTATCCAGTCAGATTTTTACCTTTCATGTTTCAGTCACTATCCGTGACTTTTATTATATAAACATTAAGAGCTGCTCTTACTGTGTATTTAACGTGGAGCTAGGGATGAGTTGTAAGTAAAAGTTAAATAAGTAAAAGAGAGGTTGTAATTTATATCATTCCCAACTGGTATCTGTTTATTTATATGCGTTTGTGCCTTGATGGGTCCCAGGTGAATGCAGCGTTCCCGTTCAGTAGCAGAGGTCATGGAGCTCCGTCTCTCTCTCTCCTTCAAATCCTCAGTGTCAACATTCACCCCAATACAGAGATATTCTGGGAGAAAGAGATACCTCCTCTGCTTTCAGTACTAGAGGGTATGGGAATACATGGACACCTTTTTCTATCCGTTTATTTATATAATATAGTATATATAATTAGTATATAATATATAATAGTTTTGGAGCAAGCTTGACTTTACTGCACTGACACCACAGATGAAACTTAAGTTTGCTCTACTTAGTTAACAACATTTGTGCATTTGTAGGCTGCATGGTGTATTGGGTCCTTTTTCATTGTCATTCCTTATGTACTGTAGTTTTCTTCTCTATAGTAGAGTAATCTGACTGTGTTGCTGTTTCCAGAGTCAACGGCAGAGACCCTGGATAAGAAGCAATGGGATGAAAACTTGCTGAAGGTGTGCTTGTGTACTGTACATGGGATTATAAACAATTTTACATTATAATGTGTCAGAGTCTTGCATTTGGATTAAAACTAAAATGTGGTGATAATAGAAATTTTACTTTATTTATAAAAGATCATTCCTATTTATTCTCCATTAATGGTCCATAATCATTTATCATCATAATCCATCATCATCAAAGACTGAATGCTGCTCATTAGATACCCATTATGTACTCTATATGTATAAAGCTGTCAGCTTTGTTTGTCTGCATTGAAACAGAAATATTCATCTCTGACTTGATTTAGTAAAATGTCTTTCTAAAAGTGATAAATTTGTCTTCAGCTCTTGTCTAAAACTCTGGCTACTATTGACGATGACAAGTGGGTGTGTCAGTTGACATCTGAGGCAACGAGATACCTCTCCACGTATAACAATGCCTTAGAGGAGAAGGTAAGTGCAAGAGCAAGCTGATTGCAAGCTAATGCTTTGATATTGTTGCCAACATTTGTCTACTGACTGAATGGATATAGTTTGTGGTTTGTTGAGTTTCTAAGCCCCATCAGAAAGCCTAATTTAGAGCATTATGTTTTGAGAGAGACTTTCTGGTGTTTTAACCACAGTAAACATCTTGAAATGTGTTCAGAATAAATAAGATGTTGTATATTTTATAATACAAATGGTATTTCTGCTAACCTAGAAGTAATTTCACGACACCCTAACATGATCTTGCAACCCAACGAGGAGACCCAACCTGTAGGATGTGAGCCATTTACGAGGAACATAACAGGAAAAAAAATACTGAGTACATTAAAGTACATATATGACAATAATATAATTAATATTATTCACTCTCTCTAGAATTTCCTGTATCGATGTGTTGGAGTGACTCTCCAACAGTGTTTTAATAAGGAAGTTGTCAAAAAACAGCTGCAGGAACTCCTGCTCACAGCACGACACAATGATGCCATGGAAAGAGAGGTACCTGAAACACAGATGATGATGTCATCTTTGAAAAAATCCTTGATGATTAGTATTGTGTGTTTCACACCTGGACTGGTTTAACTTACGGTTTCTTTCATCTGTATCTGTCAGGGAGTTGCAATGGGCGTCGGTCTGTGTGCCAACAGCCACTTAGAGGGAACTCTGGCCAAGTTGGATGAGTTCGGCAAATCAGACGCCTTCAAGAAATCACCAAGCATCTTCAACCTTCTCAAAGTAAAAGGAGCTTTCATGATACATCACAAATGAGAATTGTATTATAGATATAACTTGGTTTCTTCAGGTCTGGTTGTGTTGCTGTTAATGAGTCTTTGTTTCTGCTTCCTTTCCTGCCCTTAGGAGCGTAATGATGTTGAGGTAGAGAAGGTAAAAAGCACATTAATCTTGTGTTATGGTCAAGTGGCTCTGAACGCACCACCAGAAAAGATACTGACCCGCATTGATCAAGACATCCTTCGCTGCATCAGTAAACACTTCAATACCAAGGTAATGTAAATACCAAGGTAACATGACACAGATAAGGAAACTGAAGGAGAAACAAGGGTTGCAGCATGCAATCAAAGCTACTAGACTGATTGTTATGCAATGCCAGTTACAATTAGTGTTGTTTACTGTACACATCACAAACGTAAAAATACATATGTAGATAATGAAATATTTGCGCATCATAGTACACATTTATGGATTGTATTATGTGGGTTACAAATATTAAAGTCCAATAAAATCTTCCATAAAAACTTTATTAAATCCCCGCAGCCATCTGAAGGCAGTAGGACAAATATGTTTATAAACCTGCAGACTCTACTTGAGAAGTGCCAGGCAAAAGCATGTTGCACACGGCTGCCCACTATGTTTACCTCGATCATAAATACATGTAAATGACACCAGACTGTTAAAGAATAACTACACACATCAGACTTGTCAGTTATAATATGGTATTCTGCCTGTTGTTGCACAGACGTTGAATTACCAGGCTTCATTAATCCTGCGCCTCACAGCTTCCATTCCAACTTAAAAAATTAATTCATGTTTTGTGGCAAATGCTGTGTCACATTTTCAGATATGATGTGAACATTTGCAAGATGAAATACAGTAGAATTATGGCAATGGAGACCAGTGATGTAACAGGCCAAGAACGTATTTATTAATCACCACACCCCCTGATTTATATCCACTTTCACCCAGCCCTTTGCACCTGATCTAAAATAGCAGGTGCGCTCAGTTGCGCTCAAGACCTACCGCCTTGCGTTTGTCGTCTGGCTTGCGTGATTAAAATAGGTCCCATAAACATAATTTTACAGGTAAAACAGCTGTATTTGTATAGACACTCATGGCTTTATCACCTCTATTCCATACAGGTTCTGGGGATTAAAGTAGAGACAAAGGTATCGTGACAGGAATACCGGGGCGCTCTCCTCTTGCTCTCCTTCCTTAGGCTTCTTTGTATTTTTTGCACAATTGTGGTGACGTGTCACTAAAATCTTTACTGACTGTCTTCAAGTCACAAAAACACAACTTAATACAATAAAGCAATTACTTGTTCTTTAAGCTTTAACTTTGCTGTGTCTAAGTTATATTACACAATGGTAGAGCACCAGATTTGTGCCCATGTCTTGAAGGCATTCAAGATTTCTCCATCGTTAAAATGAACCCATTGCGATGGTGGAGCACATGTTTATTTTGAAAATGTTTAGTTTGAGGACTGTATTTTAGACATGTACAGTTGATACCAATCAGACCAACTCGGGGTATAATTTAGAAATTGGTCAGTTGGGAAAACGCAGATTGCCATTATGCTCATGCAGTAAGTGAAAATGCTCTGCCTCAGTGAAATATAGCTTTAAGTGATTACTTAATGGTGGATCGTACATGAAATGCTCGCCAATGACTCAGGCTGAATGTAAAAGGCCTTTTTGTAATTTCTTGCTAATTCCTAACAGCTCGTTGTGTCTCTGGGCCTTGAGCTTCTCTGTCACTTCTTAGACCAGAACCTGCTATTCAATCTCCTCTAATCACACACTCTAATTTCAGACTTTTCTCCATCCATAGGCATGGAGGATCAATCTACAGTACCTTTTTTTTGATTGATTTAATTGATTGATGGACTGTGTGGATTGATTGGAATGATTTTGGATTGTTTTTGCTTTTGCTCAGTCACGTGTATAGTTGCATCTGCTGTAAGGGGCTGCGATTCGCCTTGTTATTTGCATTCCTGACAATTTGGAAAATGCAATTATCCAATTTCCTTCATAGTTTGCCTACTTTTGCTCTTTACCTGAATCTTTTAGTCTGTGTATGTCCTGACGTATTTTCTATACGTCTTTTGCATCTCTCTGTATTTTGTTGACATGCGTTGCTGTCTTTCCAGGACCTGACTATGAAGCTCAGTTTGATCCAGAGTGTCGGGCTCATAGCCAAAGCCATCAGTGAGTGTGTTAAGAAACAAGGCTACATCTTCTCTCGCAAACAGGAGCTCATTACTGTTATGCTGGTCAGTAGTCAAGTCATTTCAGCCACAAGTTATATATGTAATTGCTGATAGAACAACAAGGGTTTTCTGATCTTTCCTTCTGCTGTTATGTCACCGCTGGTCAGGATTTTATCAAGGCAGAGCCAGCTGATTCAATGAGGACTCCAGTACGCCATCTTGTGATGACCACCTGTGCCAATCTAATGTATCCTTCAGCTGAAAAAAATAATGAACTATGTTAGAAATAAAAACAATGATTATGTTTATCAAAAAGGTTCAAAAAAGTCTGTGGTCTTTGCATTCTTGCACTGGATATTCTGTCATTTCCCAGTGTTTCATCTTTGACCTTTAGTGTGTCAGACCTCTGGACCCTGTGCTGAGTGAGAATGAGAGCTTTGACTTGCTAAAGGTGTGTGTGAACAGTGTGTTCTCTCTGCCGCCTGAGACACACACTCCAGAGAAAACTAAAGAAGAGGAGACACTGGACCCCAGTCAGAGAAAGGTGATGTAAAGAAATCAGACACATACAGTATTTGTGCTACTTCACAAATCTGCCGTGCATTAGTCTTGTGCTGATTTAAACGCTTACAACTAGATAACAAACCTTCTCCTTCAGTATCTCTTATTAACCCACTATTACCGTTTATATTTGAGATCCACAAACCTTGTATCTACAAACATGTATACTTCATTAAACATTTTGTGCAACATCTTTTAAATCCTGTCATGTTGTCAAACTAACGTGTCCTGGAACATATGTGCAGGCATTGTACAAAAAAACGTTGGCTGCACTGCAGGAGCTGCTGAAAAGTGTACTGGCAAGGGATCCTACACCCGATGGCCTGCAGAGTGTCTTCAAGGTGAAGTGTGGTGTTTCTGACTAATCGGATCTTTTCATCTTTAGCTAAACACAGTGTTAAGTATCAGTAATGCAAACACACAAAACCAGTAAACAAATGTGCATTTTTAAAAAAGGAGTAGTTAATACTGTGGATACAAATGGTGGCAGCGGTTGTCTGAACAATAGCAAATTCTTATTATTAATTTTTTGTAACAAAAACCTCACTTAGCATCTTTCACTATATAGATTACAAAATAGTACTTAAAATTATTTGAGCCAGTAAAGTATTAACCAAGTTAGTATGATAACTAAAAGCCTATCTCTCCTCCTTTAGCCCTCTGACTTGTTGTTCAGCTGTTTAATTAAAAGAAGAATAATAGGCTTCAGTAAACTGCCACGCACCAGGATGTAACCTACCCGGCAGTATCATACTGTATCACTCTGTTTTCTGACATGTATCTGACTTGTTTTTTTGTCCTGTGCAGCACATTGAGTCGTGGCTGAGCTCTGGACAGGACCACGAGAGAGAGAGAGCTGCCATAACTACTGCTCACATACTGGCTTTCTACCTGGATAACCTGACTGTCAAGGTACACACAGTTTTGTCTTGTGGGTTTCATTTTTGACGACATAACTATCCTGAACACACTACAGATGGTAGTTTTGATTATGATCCTGACAACTATTGTAGAGGTCTTGCAACTCATTCAAACTTGACCAATGGTCCAAAGTATTTATTTTTATAAGCTGTTGAATGTCACTAAATGAGCTGATGGTATATAGTCTTCTCTTGATGTTTAAACTGACATTTGGCGTAGCAGCCATTTTGTACCTTTCCTTTCTTAATACCTGCATCTTTGTCTAGAACATGGTCTCTTTCCACAACCTTGGAGCTCTGCTGGGTCGACTGTCTCCGCGGTGTTCTGACCCTCACCCTGCCGTACGCGCTGCTGCTATGGACTGCATCTACACACTTCTCTATACACAGCTACGCTATGAAGGTACACACAGCCCTGACCTTTTACCCTTATTATTAAATCAATTAAAATAAATGTTTTTTCTCCTTCAACCTACATATTCCAGCTTTAACCTAAACTTTTAATGTAGACATACAACGACTGGTCTTTGTAAAGCTTGCTGTTTTGACTTTACTTTTCCGTTTTTCTCGGTGTAGGTTTCTCACTAGATTATAAGGATGAAGCTGTGGATAGTCTTTTGTCCCTAAAAGACCAACTAGAAAACCCTGACCCCTCAGTTCTATATAAGACCTGCTCTGACCTCACCAAGGTACTGTCCACTTTGTAGCACTCAGCAAGGCTTCCTTAAAAGTCGTTACCTTAAATATTACATGTATTGAATCATGTGTCCTTGCCAAATTAGATTATTTTGACTTTTAGTATGGCATTAAATGACAAAGCATTACTGTAATCAACAATGTAGTTTTGTTGCTTTCATTCAGCTTATCTCTGTCCACTTGTGTTAATTTTGCCATTTTAAAATGTAGTCTTAGTCTTACTCCTGTGTCCAATGTCCTTGTTAGTTTTTGTCATGTTTTAGTTGACTAAAAGTCTAGGTATTGTCGTGTGATTTTAGTCAAAAGTATTTAGTCTAGTTTTTGTCATTGAACTTTACCTAAACTAAACCTTAATCTTTTTAGTATTTTCTAACTCATTAGTATAATTTTAATTAGCATTTTGGTCAATCTGCTCTAACCAAAATAGAGACATTTATAATTTTAGTCTTTATTTCGCTCATCTCACATATAGATAAAATGTTCTGTAAAATTTGAGTGTTAGCTTTGCTCATTTTTATTGCAAAGGAGACATTAACTTACCTCAATTCCCAGGTGGTTAGCCTTGATATGCCGCTTCAAGTTTGTATTGTTTTTTTTCCAAAAATCTTACAACCACATTGCTTTCCATCCAATATAATTAGGCACTCTGTTTTGTTGTCCGCCTCACTGTATTTGAAAATTGGACCAAATATTTAAGCGCCTCTTTCTCCCTAGCATCTTGTGTTCATCACCAGAGTTCGCATCCTCCACAGTTTTCCTCGCACACCAGGCGTCGCCCTGGTCGGCCAGCGTTCAAAGCACAGGAAGAAAAAAATACCAATGAATGAACACACTGTTCAAGTGAAAATTTAGAGGGAGAAATATTTCGTCTCCTCATTATACTGACAAAAACAAATGCCATTTCAAGAGATTTAGTGAACACTGTATTTTATGAATTACATTTTAGTGTCGTCATTTTTCGTCAACAATATTGCATGTTAAGATGGTCACAGTCAGTGTTTAAGTACATTGTCCCCTTCTCGTCATCATGTCGTTTTAGCTAGGGGGAAAAAAAGGTCATTGATGAATATATTTCGTTTAGTTTCGTCTGATGAAAGAAACACTACTGTCCACGATGATAGTCATACAATCAGTGTTACCTTTTTAATGTTTGTGTGAAGTTAGTAAGTAAAGACTTAAAGTATACAGTAAAACTGTGTAACTGCGTGTTTTTCATTGTGTGTGTGTCAGGTGATGAGTAAGCGTCTGCCTCAGCAGCAGCTGACGACGTTGGTGTTCATGTTGTTTGAAGGGCTGGTCGACAGTCAGACAAACTGCTGCAGAGCTTCTTCTGTCATCCTAAACAGTCTGCTGAAGAACCGAGGAGGCGGGCTACAAGACCTGGTAACACACAACACACAACACACAACACACACCTGCTGTACTGGATCACCAAAGACACTGCTTGTTTGTGTCTTTCTGTCTTTGTCTGTGTTTTACATGTGTATGTTAGGTCCCGGAGATGATGGAGGTGCTACATGTGCGTCTGCAGAGTATCACAGAGGAGCAGGTAAGGACAGACATCAGTATAACAATATTCAGCAGATATATGTATTATTCAATAGCTCTCTCTTTTTATGTTTTGAATAGGGAACATACAGACTTGATTCACCCTTTTGTGGCTTATTTTGCAATGATGGTCAGCTCACAATTATATCTTATTTGTTTGTTATCATAGATGGATAGATAATCATTATTACCTAATGATTATCTATGATCTTTACCCACTTAACTTATAATTAGTTCACACTGAAAGAACTGTTTCATTGTACCTGTGTTTAGGTGAGAGTGGCAGTGGGACAGACGGTACTAATCCTGGCCTCTCAGCATCTACAGACTGTTATCAATACACTAGTTAACCAACCACTTCCTTATGACAGGTATCTATACAACAACATTCACACACACACACACATAAAAAAAAAATATATATATATATATATATTACAACTTAGAATTATATAAACTGCTCTGTTTCAGCTAGGCCAAGGTCATTGTCAGTTGCAATTTTTTGTCTTTGTAGGGTAGAATTCCTCACATCTCGTAGAGCCAGGAGTTTTTTTTTTTTTTTTTCAATGGAACACTCTTAAAACATGAAATGTTTCTGTCTCTCTGTCCAGCTGGACCAGTGAGATGTGGATGGCCTTGGGAGCAGACCCCATCGTAGCCAGTCAGATCATCGAGATGGTGATGGAGAAGCTTGTCATCATGGCGCCCTACGTAGACAAGAAGGAGTCAATGATCAGGGGAGGGGCAACAAAGGTGGCCACCCATCAGCCACTGGCTGTAAGTCACAAACACTCAGACATGTCACTGATCAAATTGTATCTGTTCTAGATCAAGATTCTGATATTTATAATCATGATTCATGATTATAACATTTTAAAGTAGCATATGCCGATAAAGGTTGTAGGGTCTTCAGTATTATGTCCTCTGGCCATGTACTGTGTGAAACTTTTACTACTGATCATTTGCAACCCAGCTCACGTAGCGAATGCAGCACTTAGCAGAGCAGCAGCTGCTTTTGTCCTACATATGTGTCTACACAGGATGCCTTCAGGGACAGTATTGTTAGGACACCTGTTTTTTTGGCAGCTCAGAGCCCAATACACAATCACTGTTATTAAACGGAAGAAAAAAGACTTGGAAGTGTAAAAGTATGCACAGCAGCTCCATGCCAAACACAAATTGCAGAAGGGGATGATTCTTGTGCGATAACGTCTGCATGTGTGTCTGTGTGTTCTTTGTTTCCAGATGACATGCGGTCTCAAGGAACTGTTATTAAATGGCCAGAGTCAGGAGCCGGCAGTCGGTCTGTTTCCTCAGCTCTTCTCCTGTCTCACTGTCAGACTTGGAGCAAGTGTTGGGGTCTTAGCCCCGAAGGACAACAATACTAAACACATCACCGCTGTCCATGTAGCAGGGTGGGCATATTTTTCTCTATATAGCTCATAAAATGTCCCTACATGGACTAGTGATATAAACTTTTAATTTCATGTGTGTATCTGTGTGGACAAACAATATGATGAAATTGTTTTTATGTGTGTTTCAGGGTAGCAGCTGATGCCCTGCGAATCCTGTTGGCACGGGCCCAGTTAGATGAGGTGACGAAAAGACTGGATGAAGATAACGCCTGGGAGGCGATCAAGGAACCGAATACACACATTGCTGGAGTTACACTACTGGCAAAGTACGTATACATACAATGAGCGCTGTGGGTTCAGTTCGAAATTCACACCAGATAAACACTGGTAGTAGAAATTGTAGCTTGATATTTCAACTAATTTCTGCTCATCAGTATTTATTACAAAGACAAGTGTTGCAGTAGGAGAGTCCTACCTGAAGAGAGGTTATGAAGTCTTCATGCGATTAGAGAACCACATTACAGCATGATTTATCAAATTGTGTTGGACTTAAAAGTAAATGGACACTTGTAATTAACTTTACCGGACCATAGTCTCTCCAAATCCTGTGGGAAACAATGAATAAAAAGCACATTTTGACTGTTTAATTTATGCAATGCTAAAAAAAAAAAATAAATAGGCAAAATAAATGGAAAAAATGTGAATGTACTTGTTTGATATTCGGCAAAGTTTTTCATTATATTCGGTTTCACTTCGCTTAATTTCGGTGCATCCCTATTCTAAATGTCTTCAGGGCGATGGCTAAGCATGCTGGTCCCAGGTTGCCTGCCATCGTGGAGTGTCTGTGTCCCTCCTTGAACAACATCTACGAATGCCAGAGAATCACTGTCACTGCTTTCTTTTCTGAGGTGAAATATTACATCATGTTTATTTTTTCTGTGTGAGGAGGGGGTCCAGTGTTTTAATTAAGCTAAATGAAATGAACGATAAATGCCTCCACCTGTTGACTTTTTCCTCATATTCCTGACCTCCATTTAAGTTGCACAGTGTATTAAAAATTGTTCCAAATGCCATCAGATTAAGAATATCAATCAGCTTTTAATGAACAGCTGGTGGAGAACGTGTGACGTGTTTTGTTTCTCCAGCTCTTAAACCATCACGTGGTGACGGAGTTGATGTTGATAGACGTGTTAATGAACAACATGATGGAGAGGATATCAGATCCCTGTTGCACCGTCCGCATGTTGTCTGTGCGGGGGCTCGGCAATCTAGCTGTGGGATCACCTGAAAAGGTACATTGTTAAAACACACAAGCGCATGCTCTATACCACCAGGTGAAAACTAACATGGTTGTGGGATACTTGACACACACCTTTCATCTCTTCTTCTTGCTTACCCTCACTTCCTTCCCCCACCAGGTGAATAAATATGCCAAGGAGCTGCTGGCTGCCATGAGTTCAGGCATGGAAGAGAAAGACGATCCAGGTGAGTTGACACCATTTCCGATGCAGGGAAGAAGTTAAAGTTACAGTAATCTCAGGTCTGGCTCACCTGATGTATTACATTAATTCCTAAATCTTACTGTCTACTGGTTCTGGGTTTCACTTTTCTTCACCATATCCATCACGTTTATCATGAAACATGTTCAGCCACTCATGCTGGATCAGTTGTCAGAAATGCAAAACATTTTCATTAATTTCTTCTGGTCTTCCTGCAGGTAAGCTGATTACGCTTGAAGCCATGTCGGGTCTTTCTAAAGTCCTCCTCTATCTGGACAAGAAGAATGTCCACTTGCTAGTGGTCTATATCTTCATGAAGATTAAACCTTTCTTGGAAAGTGTGAGTTTCCATGAGTTTAAGATGTGGTATAATGATACATACCCTATGATAACTCTCACAATAATCCTAAGGAAAATTTGTGTATTTTAATAGTGCTGGAGATATTTAGCAGTTATTTCAGTGTTGGCCCTTAATGTAATAAACAGTATTTAACATATTTTACATATACAGAGCTGAGGATTGTTAGGCTATGTTCAGACTGCAGGCCAAAGTGACCCAAATTAGATTTTTTTTGTCCATATGTGACTCAGATCTGATCTCTTTATAACAGTGTGAACAGGCCAAGTCACATGGAATCTGATCTTTTCCAGTTCGGATTTGGGCCGCTTTCATATGTTGTCCAAATTCGATCAGATCTTTTTCAATGCGACCTCAGTCTGGACACACAGGTCGGAATTGATGCGACTTTGACGTCACTTTAGAGCAGCTGTTGTCACATTTCTGCTGAAGATTGAGCCGCGGTGAACAAAGAAACACCACAAAAAGCCTTTTATTATACAGATGGATCTGTTTTTTTTCTCTGCCTTGCTGTCATCTGCCCACAAATTCCCTTTCTTACACCTGAAATCCACCGGACCGAGAGCTCACTTCTCTCTTATTTACGTACATGCTACTTGTCCGAGCGGACGCAGTAGAGCCAGAAAGCGAGAGAGAGAAAGAGAGAGGGGGAGGGACTGAGTTGTGTGGCAGATGCGTTGTACAGCGTGAGAAACCGTAGTGAAAAGGACAGAAAGTTGTGAGCACTTGTCATAATTCATGAGAAATATGACCCGTGTGAGGTTAGTAATGGCAAGTAGGAGCTGTTTACTTCTGTACGACAGCGTGCTGCGTGTGACGTCGTGGTATTCTTCTGCGCATGTTGGTCACTTTGAGGCTGCAGACAGTTCACACTGGAGTCTGATACGGGCCACATTTAAACAATAATGTGAACTGTAAACAAAAAATGAGAATTGAGCATTAAGGCCTGCAGTCTGAACGTAGCCTTAGTGTTCTGTAGCTCTGCAGTTGTTTCCTCACTCATACAGAGACATAATAAAATGCTAATGGTACCTTCTGGCTCCGTGCTCATCCAGGAGAATGATGAAATCCGCTGTGCTTCCATACATCTCATGGGGAACCTTTCCAAGTTTGGCTCAGGAGAGCCAGTGTTCAAAGACCAGATCCACAACGTTCTGGTCAGCCTGCTGTTACACCTGGTTGACCCAAACCCACAGGTGGTCAAGGTACAGTAGGAAATGTGCATACACACACACACAAAAAGTTTTTCTTATAGTGCATGCATCTTAGTCCTACAGGGCAAACCGCTTCATTGTTTCACACAAATTTGTTGCATCTGTCCAGGCGTGCAAATATGCCATGCGAGTGTGTGCTCCTGTGGTGGGATCAGAGCAGATCACAGCCATGTTTCAGAACCACCTCCACGAAGACAAGAGCTTGCACTATGGAGAGTTCATTAATGACCTCACCAAGTACCTGGTGAGACACACAGTCAAACATGAGCATTGCTGAATAAGGGCATTTGTGCACCTTCTTATAAAGTATGAAATGTATTGAGCTGGTTCTTTGTAAGGTTACTTTGATTGTTTTTGTTTCTATTTTCTTAAAAATGATGAAACAATGGTATGGAAAGTATTTTGTAAAGTAAAGGTAGATGATATGATATTGTTGAAGAGATAGTTATTCTTCTTTGATGTTCAGTGCATGTTTTGTGGTTCCTAGATTCAGGACTTTCCAGGCATGCTGAACTTTTATCACATCTCAGTCATCCAGTTCTTCAAGAGCAGCTGGCCTGAGGTCAGAGCAGGAGCTGCCATGTTTATAGGTATGACTACAGCAAGACCTTGCTCCATGTCATGAACATTAATGTTTTTAATGTTAATCAGAGGTTTAAAATGGAGGAAGTCTTTAGCCACAAGCCTTCACAATATAAAAAACAAATCCAGTGAACTTGAGTTGATATACGGGTTAGAAGCAGTGTGTTCCTATATGATGTGACCTGACCTAAAGGGGTGTGTGTCTGTGTGTTATCAGGGTTTCTGCTAGGGAATCTTCCAGAGGAGCATCTCTCCCACCTCAACATGGGGACCATCACTAAAGGTGATTGACTGTACAACCTTGTTTTTCTTCAAACATTTCAACTCAGTATGTTTGTGTTCTTGCATTGACTGTGTGTGTGTGTGTGTGTGTGTGTGTGTGTGTGTGTACCTGTGTTTTTGTGTGTATGCATGTGTTCATCCTCAGGTTTAGTGATGCTCCTCCAAGATCCAGATCCTGTGGTGAGAGTGAAGGCTGCTGAGGCCATGGGGCGTTTCCACTGACACAAAGACAAATCTCAGCATTTCATTTAGTCACAAGTGGTAGGTCGCCACCACATAAAAACATGAAAAGATGAAGAATATTTAAGATTTGGCCTGCAGGTTGCAACAACATTTAGAGCTCACCATGTGCAGTCATTATAACAGCATTCAAATAACGCAACTACAACCTTCATTAAAACAAACACAGGGACCAAAAACAGGAACAAATGTGGAGCCAGAAACCAAACAAACACTGATTATACAAACATACACACAGATGCACATATATTTAGCACTTAGCAGCTTAGTTTAGCTTCTTTTGACACTTGACTACTTGAAAGATACTTGAATGGAGGTGTTAATTCTTAACTATATTTTAGTGACCAAAGACTGTGTTGCTGTATACAGATGGACGTTGTTTGTAGCGTTTAGTATTCTACCAGAGATATACTGTGTTCTTTCAATGAAATATACCATGCGTCAAGGAGTTTCTAATGAACGGGGTAAAAACACATTTGAGCTTGAGTGAAAGGTTTAAATTCAAATATTTCTGTGCAAACGATAACAATAATGCACATTTAGAGTACATGACAATGATTTCACATGACTGGCTGGCTAAAGTGTGTGTGTGTGTGTGTGTGTGTGTGTGTGTGTGTGTGTGTGTGTGTGTGTGTGTGTGTGTGTGTGTGTGTGTGTGTGTGTGTGTGTGTGTGTGTGTGTGTGTGTGTGTGTGTGTGTGTGTGTGTGTGTGTGTGTGTGTGTGTGTGTGTGTGTGTGTGTGTGTGTGTGTGGTCATACCAGCATTTCGTGATAGTGTTGTGGATGTCAGTTTTAGTTTCAGTTTCAGACATCCTCTTTTAGAGAGAGTTCCAATGTAGTGGGCTTGGTTTTATTGTCCTAAAGCCCCTCCCTCTGATTAACACGGTATCTTTCTTTCCTCAAATCAGCTCTGAGCTTTAACCCTGCCCTCCATGAAGATTGTAGGTCTGTTAAATGTGCAGTACCATGAGTAAATTAACATGATGTCTATAATAGAAATGGTGAAAATGCAGAAGAGCTACAGTAGGTTTTAAGGTTTTACGGTCACCTCCATTTTTGTTTATCAGTCACTGCCACCGCTACAACTAAATGGCCACACTGAACACTTCCCGGTGTAACATTAATGTGTGTGCTCCACCTCAGACGGCTGCTTTGTCCACAGTCTATTTCTTCTGCACATAGTTTATCAATCAATTTCACATTACGGGCCACAAGAGTTTTCAGGTGTGCTCCATACGGACATTAATTACCATCACAACATTGCCCGGCATCCTGTGGCAGCCATCATGAACACAACAGCCAAGTGAGAAGTTGATAATCACTTTAATGTGGTGACCCTTGTGTTTTCATTCACGTTTTGCATCATATAACACAATTCTGCGAAGCGAGCTGAGAGCGTTTTTTTGTTTTGTTTTTTTTTTGTTAGCCAGGCCAAACTTACAGACTTGACTTCTCTGAACCAGCCAGTTCCAACCAATCAAACCATTCCTGTGTAGCTGTGCTAAAACAGTTAGTGCCAAATGTTTATTGATAACACATAATACACTATAGTGATGCTGTTAATGATTCTCTCTCACTTTGAATCCACTTCATGTCTTTATTCCTTTAAATGGTGGATTTTGTACAGTTTAAGGATATGGTTGTGGGTTTGCAGACCTCTTACTATGATGAGTGAATGTTGTCTTATGTACATGTCATTTTAATGTTTATGTCTCCAAAATAATTCACTCAAATGGCAACAAGGAGAGATGCTAAATAATTCGTTATGTGTCTTAATTTGGTGACAAAACATGTCCAAAAGAGAGTCAGATGAAAGCAATATATTGTTTGTTCTAGAATAAATGATTATGTGTATGTCGATCTGCAATATCTCAGTTGCACGTTTAAGCTCTTGTCATGTAGTCCCTGATTTAAGAACTGAAAGGCAGACTAGGAGCTGAACCTGGTTGGTGTATGTACCCAGTTTCATTGAATCCTAATTTTAATTTTCTTCACGTCGACAGAAGTCACAAGCAGAGAACATTTTAATGTTTTTCTCCTGGTTTCAGCTGGTGGCTTTTGGTTATTTCAAGTTTAACAGTAAGGAAAATGTTTTCTCAGTGGAAACAAGCTAATGTTCATACTGTACATTTATCAATCAAATGCAAAAGGCAGCTCCTGGATTGCATTAGATGTTCTACAAACAGGGACTTGTGGCTTCTAGCATTTTCTAACACTATGGCTTGGTTGAAGGTGATAGGTAAATATTAATTAGCAGAGTTCTCTGTTTTAAACGATGTTACGAACTTCATACCACTGATTTGATTTTTCATGACATCTACCTGTTTTTTTTTGTTTGTTTTTTTTAACATGTTGAATGTTGTAAATGTATGTATGTCTAAGTATGTATGACACTGAGGCATGGCTCAATGTGTGAATGTATTCAGGTGTGACTGTGTGCATGTCATCTTGTTGCGTTGCTACGCCAGAAGAGAGACTGGGTGATGGCAATCAATGTATTTAAAATGAAGAAATAAACAGATCTATCCAAATGTAACTGATTGTATTTCTTGTCCAATTTGCACACATTTCCCCGTGTCCATGTGGGTACAGTAAAGAGTATTGTGGTCACACAATATACAGCTGCAGTTTGTCTTAATGCAACAACAGAATAGATTAGTTTTGAGTTTAAAACACAAATATGTAATAATGACTTTAACAATGCCAACGGTCTAACTGCCGCATATTTCCCTCACCGCTCTTCATTATATTCCTTGAGTTGTCTGTAGGCTCTTTTAATCATGTCCTCTATCAAATGTAAATGTTCAGGTGTACCAAATTATCACCGTCATCTTTTTGGGGAATTCATTTTGGGATCAGGTGTGACATGTTCATATGATATCATATCGGGGCTGTTGGTCCCTCTGTCTTCACCTTGTGTCCTTGTAGACTGACTAACTCATCATAACCAGAACTGTGAGTATAACAGCGTGCATTACAGTGGGAATTTGCATCTGGTCTCTGTGTTTGCTTGTGTGCTGTAACAGAAGCAGAGTAAATATTAACCACCTGAGGTCTCACAAGAGCTTCACAGACAGACAGTAAACAAGACTATTGTGTGTTTGGGTTTTGTCTGTGTGTCCTAAAGTGTGTGAGAGAGATGTCCTTGGTTTGTCTGTTGTACATTGTGAAAAGTATTTGTAATGAATGAGTACACCTCCTTGTGACTAAATAGTTGTTATGCATATTATAAATGTGTGATTCTGTGCTCTTTTGTTTCTGTATATTTGTGTAGCAATCAGTGTGTCTGAGTAACGGCGCTTCTCTCTCACAGTTGATCTGTCTGATAAAACACTGGATGAAGGGACTAACTTACAGCAAGCTTGATGGCTAGAGTGGTCATCTTAGCTGGTAAGTGTGATGCGTGAAGAGAAACCAGGAATATGTTTTCAGTGTGAACAGTATGCAAGAGTACGTGTGTGTGTGTGTGTGTGTGTGAGTGAAGGCAGCTGAGTTTTAATCATTCCCCATCAGAGTTAAGGATTTGCTTCACTAACTAAAACCCAACAGAAAAGACTTCTGTCTTTTCATCAAAAGTTCTATACACATACATTTTGCTTCGTGTCTGTGTAACAAACAAATTTACATCAGATGCAATACCATTTATTCTGGAGAGGTTTATTTTCAAACTAAAATCTTGAGTTTATGACATTTTCTCTAAAATGGGTGCGTTCAGGTTATGTTCAGCTGTGTGGCAAATAATGGCCTGCTTCTGCGCCTAATAATAACGCTGGCAGCGGCTACTTGAAATGGTTGGGATCAGCCCACCATGTGTCCTTGAAACATAACATCATAATCCCAAACAAATGCATTTGCATTTCTTGCTGACATGAGAGGAAAATTGAGCTTTATTTTGAATTTCATTGAATCTGAAAGTTGGTAGAAACATATTTATTCCACGAGACTTAACCTTTAAGACTGCATACATACATATATAATAATCTTTCAAAAAGAACAAAAACACTCTTCTATCCATATCTACAGTACATGTAATCATGACCTGATCCTGATCTGCCACCGAGGTCCATTATGCAATGATTGGGAGACCCCCAAGAATCTCATACAGAAGACAACACCTTGTGCTTTCTAAAACCTATCTTGTGCTTTTTCACACTGCACACTTTAATCCCAGGGTTACCTTCAGCAGGCAGGGGTGGAGGTGAAAAGTTGGTGCTGTTTTAGGCCCTTTTTTCCCAATCCCGAGATGTTCTTCCTGACTCCATACAAGTACTGTAACATTAACCTCTGCTAGATTTTAATGTTCTATCACACTGTTTTCTTTAGTTACAGACGGTATGAAAATACTTTTTTTTAACCGTACACTTGTATAAAGTTGAAGTTAAATAGAAGCTCTGGGCTGCAGTTAGCTGAGTGCATTAAGGTACCAATCAAAGATACAGACTTAAATCCCACTTTTGGTTAAATTTGCCAAAGACACTTTAGTGGCTCACTAAAGCCCGATATAAACCCTTCAATACATTCTCAATTGTCAGTGAACTGAGACACTTTAAAACTACTTTAAGTGATCTAAATTTGAGTGTTAGACACTAGGTTCTCAGTGGAATGAGGCTGAAATGTATATTTAAAGGAGCAGGTTACTCTATTCTATCTAGCTTGATAGTGTTTTGTCTTCCAAATGTTTATTGAAATTATTGAAAAAACATGATATTGCTCAGTGTTGTGCTAGAACTAAAAGCAAAAGTCTGTTGAGCTGTTAACACCAGTAAAAGAGAAGTTTACTTTGTATTTGACTCCTGTTGGTCTTTGCAGATAGGTCTGGTGGTTTATATTTTTCTTATTGTCAACAAATTTCATGAAAACATCAAAACCAACAATTTATTGAACGTTTAACATCTATTACCTGTGTAGCCAAAGCCTTATTCCTCTGTGCCATAGAACTCTCTCAAACCCATCAATGAGCTGCACTGTTGAACTGGTTGACATGTTCCTTCAGGACCATGAACACACACACACTCTAGTTCACCAATTCCTCCTATTTGAATAATGTTTGCTAACTAAATACTACTAAATACTAAACTATTTGTTAGTTGTTTTTAATGATTTGTGTCTTCAGCAGGAACAGGTGGGGTTGAGGCTTAGAGCCACAGACAGGGTAGGGAGGGTAGGGGAGTCAGAAAGTACTGAGAGATGGACTAACACACTGTTGGTTTTGATTTTTTTCATAGAATTTTGCAACAGTAACAACAATATAGACATTTTTTTCAGCCTTACCCTTTAAAATTGTCCTTAAATATTATTCTGACATACTCTGGGGAACGGTTTAGAAAGTGCTTGAAACTTTAGAGCATGGAGATTCGGGGTCTACCACAGGTTCCAGGAAATGCCCTTTAGCGAATGTTTTCTCCTCTCTGCATATATATAATGAATCTAAACTCATTCTAGGATCCAGTCGAGTCAGCCCTTGGTTACAGTAAGTGCAGTGTGAAAAGGGCTTTTTATTTTCGGGGCTTTTAGTGGCGGTGTTGGGGGTTATAACTCAGGTTTTGCAAAAAATCAAGCTATGCCTTTAGGAGGAGTATTCATACTCCTCTGCACTGCGTCTTCCAAAGTCCATCCAGCCGAGGTAATCTCTGTCCTTTATCCTGTGGCCGGGGGCTAGACCACTGGCTCTGCTGGTGATAGAGGATCTGGTCTGGTAGGGAGAGCCTGGGGCAGATGAGACAAGAAGAGAATGCTGCTCGTCACACTGATGATGTTATGAGGATAGGACGATGGCCAAAACATGATTACAGTGCACATTTTCCTGCCTATACTGACTGCATAATGAAAATGTATAACTCAAAATGAAGTTGCTGCTGACTTGTTTTGTTTCTACTCTCATGTCTGTCTCTGTGTGTGTGTGTGTGAGTGAGAGTTCTGTAAGACCAGTGAGCTCAGCAGGTCTCCCAGTCACACAGCGTTGACTTGAAAGACAAACAGAGATCCACAGTGACAGAGAGAGCAGAGAGTGAGGTCAGGAGGTAAGGAGACGAGCGAAGGAGACAAACGGAGGGAGCGGGCTGGTAGGGGGAAATGTCGGAAACAGAAATGGAAAAGACAGAAGGAGGGTACAAAGAGGAGCTATGGTAAGCTAGAGGGAGGCAGGAAAATGCCAGATGGTGGGACTAAAACACAGCATGAGTGATGGCACATTGCAGTCGGATGGATGTTGGGAAAAGAGAAATAACAAGACCAGGAGCGAGATGAGACAAAGGAATGTTCTGTGTGTAGTGAGATGATTAAAGGGAAAAACTCCCCCCTCCCTAGTAGTCATGCCATACATCTGACTGCTCACCCTTCCTGGAGATGATTCTGGCCAGTAGCTGGCTCAGGCTGTTTCGAGCGTCCCCCTGGGGCTGGTTGTAGTTGGCTAGCTGCCCTGAGGGGGGCGCAGGGGCTGAGCGGGTATGGCGCGTGTGGTTGGGTGAGGGGGGAGGCAGGCTGTCTGTCAGGAGAGCCTCTGACTAGAGGAGAAGAAAAAAGCAAGAAGGGGAATAAGAAAAATATCTGCCATTTCAACACTTTACTGTAACTTTAAATCGGTTTAAAGCAGAAACTCACTCAGTCCACTTTTGTTTGAATTTCAGCGTATATATTTTGAATGCAAAAATCTCCAATTAAGAATAATCAGACATTGTTCTGGACTAGGTGAGTTTGCAAAACACCCCATTCTCATGCTTAGTACTCAATGAATTGAGTGGGATTGAAACATATAATACTTTCATTAGTGGATCTGATGTAGCTACTGGATATGAAGAAAAGAATATATGTTTCATGGTCTGTAAAATGCACTCAATACATTATTTAGGTATGATGGATGATAATAATTATCAAAAATAAATGAAATGATGAAAATAAAATGTTTTTTTTTTTGCAAATCCATGCAGACTTCAGTACACTTCTAGCTGTGTTTGTCTGTGTGTCTTACCATGGAGTGTGAGGGCAGACTCAGCGAACTGCTGGACGCAGCAGCCAGGAGGACACACACACAGATACCTACATTCATGACTTCAGGGAGACAAAGGGGGACAGAATATAACAACAAAGTTAAAAGAAATCCACTACACCTACAGTTATGTGGTAATTTTCCTATTAGGTCACTCGCTGTTTACTTTCTCTGCACTGCCCGCTGTTTTCTTTTCTTTTCTCCATTCAGCTTGTTAAATGGGTGAAAAATATCACAGGCAAAGTGGGTTTTGCAGAAAGCGGCAATAAATCATTTCACAGTCATTGAAGTGCAGTGGTGGGGGGGGGATTAACCTTTGATGGTTCAGCTGGATCCTGAGGCAAGCATCTTTTTGTCTGTCTTACACCCTCCTTCGCTCAATCACACCCAGTTGGTGTGTGGCAGGGTTGTGATGCTGTCAGCACGAGCAGAATCCCAAACAAAACACCAATTATCTCTAAGTCTGTTTTGCTCTTTTTTTTGAACAGGGTTCACATGAGAGTCAATATTAACATGACCTCACTGAAAGAATAAATTACATACTTACATCT